GAGATAAAAATAATTTTTATTTTATGGGGGGGGGGTCCAAAAATCGCTCTCTAGGCAATTAACAAATTGTGATATTTTGCTGTACTAGAGAAAATTAAGGAAACTGACAGAATTAAATACATTTTAAGATAGCAACGAAAATATCTTCTATTGTTATTAAGATGAAAGTTTAAAGGTATTGTTGTAAATCAGACTAACCACTAAACAGAGTTACTTTGAAAATGTAAATTAAGGTAAAACAGACGAGATAAACAGATTACAAAAAATAAGTGAAATAGATCTATAATTAAATGAAGTGTATTTATTACAAGGACAAGATAACAAGAGAAACCAATGCCATTCACATGTAAAAAAATTACAGGTTTAAACCTACTCTGGGTGTCTAGGATGGTAGAGATAAATATGTGTGAGAGCTCTAAACCTCAACTGCTGTGAAATTAATGGAAACCAGGTTTGCATCCCAATAGGGAGCATTATATACTCTACATCACCCATGGTCAATCCATCTGAAAACTAACGAATCTGGGAAATATTTAATATATTCAAATATTACAATCTAAATAAATAAAACATCATAAACAGAAAAATTGTACTTTGTTGGCTTGTTTGCATTAAACTCCTCTTGTGTACACTACGGAGCGCCTGCGCAGAACTAGTGTCAGTGCGCAAAATCCACTTCGGAGAAAGGTCGTCCCAGCATTCCTTAGTTACTAATGGAGCAGGACGGAGGAGACGGAGCAAGGGTTCTCGGAATCGGAGTAGGACTATTCCTACTCATCCTGATCTGGTCGTGTACAGTTGCAGGATTAGTCCTTGTCTCTAGGTCAGGTTCAGCTCTCTCCAGTGTTCTCATAGTACTTGCCTCCATCCTCACTGTAGTGCTTCTTGCTGTACCCAGAGAAGAGATATTAACAGGAAAAGGTAACTTTTGATCAATTTCTTGTTCATGTTACCATGGCTAAATATATCATCATTTGGGATAGCTTATGGCTCTAAAGTACGCTTTCGGGACTAATCAGAAAATTTAAGAAGAACGAATCATTTCAAAAAATTGTATAAGCCTAATATAAAAATGTGCATGCAGAAAACACTGGGTTTTTCGATTTTTATGTCCGCATATTTAGCGTTAAATCAAGATAATCCAATATGATAAGGAACGCTCTGTAGTAGGGCATTTATTAGCAATATCGATTCAGGGTATAATTAGTTCAATTATCAATAAATAACCCATTTTTCAATCAAAATCAAATCGATTAATGGTAGTATTTACAATTAGTTTTTGCTTGAGTTAACTAGGGCTTTCACACACTAGAAATGTTAGTGTTCCTTTGCTTATGAATTTCAATGTTATGTTTTCTTACAAGTAAAGTGTGTCGGTTTTTAATCAAACGCAAAAAAGTTTAATGCTTAGAATTTTTAATGAAAGTGACTAGAATTGGAACGGATAGGTAATGTCTTGTAAATTCTTGATTCCAGATATTAAGACTCCCGAAGTGGAAAAGATAATTGATGGAATGTTTGTCTGGAGAATCCTTCTCCTGGTTCTACTCTCTGTATCCGTCCTGGCCGGAGGAACTCTAACCCTCCTGGACTATGGACTCCATCCTGTTCAACCAACAACACTCAAGAAACTCAAAACAATACAGTAAAATAATTTTGTTACTCCTCAAAGGGAGATAAAGATAAATGTGACAAACATAAAACTGACCTTCGATACATCTTGTTTAGATGTTACATTTTGTGGAGTAAAAAATCCAATCGTCTTGTCTTCTGCATTGGATCTCAAGATTAATAATTTTGCACAACCAATACTGGAAGAAATTAAATTTATATTGCGAAATGTTTTTTATAATTTAATAAACTTTGTTAATTGATTTAGTTTTGGCCTTTTTTTAATAATACTATTTTTTAATAAATACTATTGTTCATATTAAATCAAACTTATAACGAATTTAACAGAAATTTACAAACAAAAGGTTTAATATTTGATAGAAACATCCTGCGCCATCCTCTCAGGGATCTGAGGTTGAGAGTTATGCTTTATTTTCAAAGATTTGTGATGAAGAATAAAAAATGGGAGATAATTTCTTTGTAATTTTTTGGTTACTGCCATCTTTTATCCCATACTCTTCCCATTCATTCATTCGTCACTCCAGTTATAAACAGACTGGCTTCTTACAATCATGGGTCCTTTCAGCTGAAAATTATCATAAAAAAAACGAAATGAAAGACAAAAAAGCTCAATTTCTCAGTCGTGCTACCATAGGTACAACCATAGTTACTTTGTGTTTACGCTCTACGAGAGCTTTTATATACGACCTAGAGTTGTATCTATAGGAGCATAATTAAGAAATTGGGCCAAGATCTAATAAGTCTTAAAGATCATCAACGTTCATTAAATATTAATAAATATGACCAGACTTCACAATATTTTGACTCCCTGGATACCGAGCAAAGTAAAATTATTGAACAAGCAGAATTATTTGTTTCAAATACAATATACATCCCGAACATCTCTTCCGGAATCTTGGGGCTTAGGGCTTCCAGCCAACGTGCATCTGAGATTCCTACCAGATTGTCTTGCACATTTACCCGTCCATAATCGAGGGCACAAAACCTCAGTAATTTAAATATTTTACTTTATTTACTCAGGACTAAATGTAGACTTCTTAACTTTACCCGACATTATTACCTAAAATGGTCATCCTAGAGTTTATCGGAAAAATATTAATGTTAAGCATAGGTTTTCCTAGTGCATTTCCTAAATCAATAACTAAAAAAAATACTTTTTAATAATTTCAAATTTAAAAAATAATTATTACAAAAAATGGGATATCTAAAAACACTTTGATAGGGCAAACTAGCCACCTTTATTAAGAGTCTGGCGTAGTAGAATTAACAACAAAATAAGATTAAAAATTCTTGTCTTTATGACCGAACATCTCTCCTGATCTCTCATGGAATAATAACGCGTTAGAAAAAAATTGCAAGACTTTTACGGCAATTCAGTAATTCATTCCATGTAAAACATCTGTGAGGTTGATCTGAATCCAGGTCCACTTAAATAATGTCCCACTAATATAACAATATCTACAAGTTGAAAAATTTATTAATCGCATTTTTTATTAACAGAAATAATTGACGACATAATATATTAGGATAAGCTATAAACAATTTATATAACAAGCATCGATGCTGATCAAAACCTAAGATGAGGTTTATTCTTTATCATATGTTTATCCAGCTTCTCCCAGAAAGTGAGCAGGGCGGCACGGTCCAAATGTCTCTTGGTCCTAGAGAGTTGGATAATACTAACCGCCCAGCTAGCAACATTCTTCTCCAGACTAACCTCGCTCCACTTCAGATGAAAACCCGCAATCCTGGAGAGGATATCAACCGGTTTCCCGTCATACGGCCAACCCTTGAATTGCCATGCTTGTCCCATCACGAAGACTCCGACAACCCTGTCCCAATCCGCGTTCGTCAGCTTTCCAGGGTTGTCAATGACTCTGTAGGGAACTGTAAGACCTCCCTCCTTCCTACGTTGAATGAGGATGTCGTTCTCTCGCTTGGTTCCTCCAGCACGTTTATCCTCAGTTGAGACAAATCTCAAATCTTGCAAAATATCTTTCACGTTGAACATCGTAATCAGGCTCTTGGGAGCAGCAGGAATTATTATAATCGGAGTCCTCGATGCTTTCTTTCCAGCCTTCTGCTGAGGTTGTTGTATTACAGGTTGTGGAGCAGGTTTAACAACAGGAGAAGGTCTAGGTACCTGAGGATGAGGTATAGGAGCATGTTTAGGATTACTCCCGCCCGTCATCATAGATTTCAAGGATTCTCCAGTATATGTTCTAGTAGTATCAATGTTGAATCCTTCTGTATCTGCTGCTCTCAACAACTCCTGTCCGTACCTGTTGTAAGGCATAGGAGGCTGAGCTGGTGCAGGCATACCAGAGCTAGGACGCATAGACATGGAGTGCTGATCCACCGGTTTATTGTTTCGGCCTTCTTCCCTGGCTTTCACACTGTTCAGGATTGCAAACACGTTTTTATTGAACATTTTCCCGTTGCTCTGTAGAATAGTAATCCTAGTTCTCCATTGCCGCTCACGTGATCTGATTTCTTTCGTCTTATCAGACTCCATATCAGCAAATGAAGCAAGACCCCTGTCACCTTCCTCTCCTGTCTCTCCCTTGATTCTAGTTCGTCTGTTTGACATAATCTTCTTCTTAATTTCAGCAATCTTGTTTGTCGTCAATTCGTCGGAGAGCGCTTTGATGTTGCCTGTTCCAAGTGCGCTTCCCTCAGGCCTTTGTCCGTACTTCATCGCGAGTTGGTCTTTTATTTTCTGTGAAGCGGACTCGTCATATCTAGGTTTCTTTTGTAATCCTTCAAGAGTGTCGTCAGCGCCTCTTTTCATCTGCGTCGGCATCTCCAGAGGCGCCGACTTGTCAATACTTGTCGAGGACTGAGTTTCTCCTCGGAGATATGCGAGAAGATCCTTCCTGTCGGGTCGACGCACAATAGGAACATCCTCACTAGCCGCCTGTCTTACATAAACAGGATGCTGCAGTGCAATATTCTTGAGGAGGTAGAGCAGACACTCAAGGGTGTAATACTCCTTAGCCACACCATCCTTTCCCTTACCATAGATTAGGTAGTTCGTCTTTACAGTCTTCGGCCAGGAGAACTCGCCGAAAATGATGTTATTATCCCGTTCTATAATTTGTTTCCTCTGCATACTGTACTGTCGCAACAAGCTCAATGGATCCGCCATGTTGAATTCTGAAATAAATTTTATTAATAAATTTTCGTTTAATTCTTACTTATGAAAGAAATAATGTGTAACATTTAAACAATAGAAAACAATCAGATGTTTGTAATATATAGTACTTGAACCTAAATTAGGTTCTGGAAGAAGCATTAAAAATTTATTTAGGGTTATAAAATAAATATGTGAGAAAGGGGGGGGGGTAATTAATACCAAGATTCACTTTAAATTTTCCTTTAAAACCCAATAATGCATCTCATAAATTGCTTTTTACAGCTGCATCTTCAGTGGGGTTTAGTATCAACATATGATATCAGTAATATTTTCGTCCAAAATATATTATCACAGGTTTGGACTAAAATGGAAGCAAATAAGTGTATAAAGAAGAGGCAATTCAGTTCAGGACAATATAATGCATAATTTAATATCACGAGTACTGTAGACTCAGTACACATGTACTTCAAACTAAAATGTGGAAACCAGATCAAAGATCCACTCTCTGTAAATTGGATTTGCTTTTCTGGGAAATATATCGGCTCCCCCTGGGTTGGGTTGAGCTAAAATAGTTCTTTAGAGCTCATCTCAACTCTCTTTAATGTGTTCATCAGCTCGTCAGGATGATATGTGAAGCTAAGCTCAATCTGTTGAGGTAAATGAGCCCTTTCTTTCGGGTTGACTCACTGTAATGAGTTTAGCTCAACTCGCTCTGTAAAGTAACATCCTAGAGACACAAACCTTGCCGACCAGAGAACCATACTCCAGCACCTCCTCCTCCTCATTCTTCTTCTTCTCATCTTCATCTTTCTTATTTATTACAGAGTATCCTACATACTCACTCCAATTCAACACCTGCAATATGATCAAATTATAGAAATATTATAGCGGGGTATCTTTTATTTAAACCCCGTTCTCCTACCCCTTCATAAAAATAATCATTTCCCCTAGTGTCCTAGTGTATTTTTATGATTTTGAGTGGAAAGTTTGAGTTATTGTGAGCACTACAAGTATCAAAACTGATTTGATCTATGTTCAGGTTAAAAAAATGTCCACTTTGCTCAAACTGTAAGAAAGGGAATTATTAACACCCCTGAATATGTTTTTACCTGTCTCATATATAGGACCATCACGTCTTTGATGGATTTGAATGAATTTGGATCCCTGGCTCCAGTATCCGGGTCTAGTCTGGAGTAGGTAGAGGAGTTTAGGAGAGGAACACAGGACTCCAGGGGCTGCCAGCTGTAGGTTTCAGGACAGGAGAGGTAGGACGGAGAGAACTGTCCTTTATATCTTAACACGAGATAAAAATAATTTTTATTTTATTTTATTTTATTTTGAGGGGACGGTGGTGAGAACAATCCATGAGGTATAAAAGAATAGTTTTTTGGGAACAAAAAAAAATCCCATCCGACCTACAAAAAGTGCCCATCTGACCTACAAAATTGATTGGCCGTCCGACAGCTACAATTAATTATTTCTACCCTACATGCGCTATGGGAATCGTTTATATTGACTAGGAGAACATTTATCCGGGGTATCATTGTGTACAGCTAATTGATACTTCTGGTAAACAGCATAGCTCTCTAGGAAGGTTTCAGTGAACATGTCATCATCAGGGTCCGCGGGTACAAGACGGGTTTCGAACTTGTGAACTCCGGGTCCATACTCCAGGTGGTCTTCTAGACTCTTCTCTTCATTGCCTTTCTTTGACTCATGAACCATACCCTTGTCGTCCTGGTTTTTTCTCCAGCGCTGTCTACGATATAATTTTCCTTTTATTCTTCTAGCATCACTATTTAGTTGGGTACTTGAAGCAGAACTTGAACCTTGGGATGGTTTTATTTTCTCAGATTTATTCAGATCATTGTATCCATCCTCAGTAGATGAGATCAAATCTCCAGGATTTTTCAGATTCAATCTTTCCTCCGCTTTAGATCTTTGATTTTCCATCTCTTTATCCGTAGACCCTGCAGAACCTTCTCCGGGTTCAGATATCTTCTCCGTCCCACTCCCAGGTCTTTTCCCAGTCTCAATATAGTTACTAAATTTCCTTAAAGTTTTCTTCTGTGATTTAGATAGTTTAAATTGTAAGGCATGACAGCGTATTGTGTACATTGGACAGCAACACATCTTGTTTATTGGTTTGTAGCAGTATTGACCAGATCTTCTCCAGCCACGATCTATCAAATCCTAGAATAATAAAGGGCTGTTAATTGTGAACCTCAGTAATGTTTGTTTTATTACCCTATAATGTTGGACATTGAAAGGGGGGGGGGGGGTTAACAATCTTTAGGCGGCGGTATTTTCATGTAACCTGGTAGTCTTGTGGTGTAAGTGTGTGTCCCCACATTCCATTAGAAAACCTAGTATTATCCTGATTACAGTATCCGCACTTGTATCCACCGTTCTCCGTGAAATATTCTACTATAGAGCGGGACATATTCTCTGAAATCACATGTTTGGTTAAATATCTAGTAAAACATCACTGGAGGGATACTCCGGCAGCCTGGAGATACTGCTGGAGACATTGCTGAGCACTAGGCTCCAGCTGAGATATGTGAGAAGGAACCCGTCCCGGATGACGAGCTGACAGAGATCCTAGGCTTGTGGCGAGCAGTTTCCTCACGTCATCAATCTAGGAATATAATAATTTAAAACACGTACATTCAATTTTGACGCGGAAAAATGGGGCCTAGATCAAAATCATTAATATTTATCAAACTTGTAAGTTGTATGTATCTATTTCACTACTGAAATATCCGAAACTTGATTCAGCAATCAGAGATTTGGGAGGTTTAAACCAATATATAATCGATCTTTAGTTAATCAAGTTAAATGTTCAAAAAAAAAAAGTTTTTTTTCAGTTTACTTTGTTCAAATTGTATTACTGTTTAATATTCATTCATTAGTAAACACTTTAATTTAGTGCTCTGAGAACAAAAGTTTGTTTTTATTTTTTATGCTCAGCTCTGAATGTGTTCAATTACTCATCTGACATGATTCATAAATGCATGAGGTTTTAACAGAAAAATCTAGGTTATTTCTTAATAAATGTTCCATAGACCCACATTATGAAAAAATCAACCTCCCATGACTATCTATATATCTTAATCAAACCAAACATTGAATAGCTTAGTCACGGAATGGCCCGGGGGTGGGGGGAATAAGAACTACTGGAGGACGGGAGCCAAATCTTAATAATAGTTTAAAATATTACCCCAGCAACAGGATCATAGTCTGGTTTCCCTGCAAAGATGAGCTGGGAGTAAGCAGTCTGGTATCCAGGAGTATCCTCTATCTCAATAAAATGCTCGTTGTCTGGTATACTCTCATCCTCTGGCAATTCAAAAAGCGCTATTAGAGCCAGAAGGAGAGGGTTAAACTTATCCGCATACCTCCCGGAGATCAGCTCATCCGTCCCGCAGAGTAGGTTCGTTAATCCCACCGCAGCAATCTTTTTCTCCGTTGAACCAGAGATTTTCTGAACGGATCCGTCCTTGACGATCAGAGAATCACAAACCATACCAAATATGCCAACTTGAATCTGATCCATGATATTAATTAGACTGGTTCCACCGTTCTTGATCAGATAGACGAAGAAGAAAACCAGAAGAGATTTTACATACTTGGTGGTCTTGGACGAGGTCAATCGTTGAAAAAGGATAACGAAAACCTGCTTGATGTAGTTGGCAAGGGAGTCGGCCGGGAGGTGTTCCACCATTGACTGGAGGAGATAAAATCCTTCATGATCGTTAGTTTTACTAGCAATAAGTTTCTGAAAAACTCCGAGAAGACCGGTGATTTTATCCTGTCCGACAACCTGGGCCGGTCCTCGGGATATAAATGCCTGGAGAAGACGGACTAAAGGATGAATATTGGCTGGTCTCTCCCAGAGTAGAGGAACCAGGAGGAAGGAGAATAGCGCCATGTATGGCTCAGGTACGTTTCCTTCTGAATGAAGTTCAAGCATCAGGGACATTATTTGGAACACGTAGGGAACAAACTCCTGTACGTCATTCTTTAAGATATCTTCGAAGACAGGGAAGAGAACCTGTTCAAAGTTTGAAACAGCCTGGGGTGAGTTCTTGCAGACGATTCTTATAGAAAGGCTGAGAGATTCAAATAGATAATGATTGTAGTGAGGTCTGGTTGGATTCTTGGCAGCCTGGGACAATTTGTTGGTAAGAGGAGGGAGAAGATGAGCAAGATAGGGAACTACGGAGTCCTGCAGAGCGGAGAAAGATCTCATAACAGCCTTCATCACGTATTCATTCTCAGTAGAACCTGGGAACTCAAATGCTCCAAACAGGTTTTTAAGAAGATCCTCCGTGTATGGAGCAAGGTCGGATTGTTTGAGAAGAGCAGATCCGGACTGATCCTTCATGATGAGTATCTTATCAATTGCTGCTGCAGAGTAGGTGTGGAGAACCACGGCGGGAAACTTAAGATATTGAACAAGGAAAGGGAAAGAAGCTTTCACAAGGTCCGGGGAAAGCTGGGATCTGAATGTCAAGATGTACTTGACACAATCTGATTTAAGAACCGGGAACTCTCCGGTATTGGCCACGTTCTGCAGCTCCGGGAGTATATGAGTTGTACAAAACTCTCCGATATTAACCAGCTGATTTGTCTGGGTTATTCCATGCTTTGCAGTCTTAGCTCTAGTAGCCAAACTAGTCACCAGATATATCGCAGCGTCCTTGGATTTCCAGTTCTGTGCAGGGTTCGCGTTAAACTGCTGCAGCATGGTCTGCACATACACTCCGAATATTTGAGTTATCTTCTCCTCGAAATGTCTACTCAGACCCTTGACTAGATCACACGCTGCCCGCCGTCTCGTGTCCATGTCCGATCCCTCCAGGTCTCTCCTAATGAACTCCTCTGGGTTGTCTTCAAACAGTTCCACGTCGCTTTCTCTCATTTCCATGTTGGGAACTATAATCTAAAACAAATTTAAATGAATAAATTATAATTATTATTATTTGTAAACATAACAATAAATCACGCGGTTGATAAGAATATTTATGAATTGTACTTGTTTACTAAAAAGAAGTCTAGGACAATCCCAAATTTTCAACGGAACTAAATAAAACCACGTAAATAGTACAAATTGTACTAACAATAATAAATACCTTCTCGCAAATGCTGCCGAGTACAGCAGAATCTTCAAACAGGTTTTTATAGTGTGGTCGGTCAGCAACTGAAGCCAAGAACTGGATTGCATTAGAAACCAGGAGATCGTATTTAGTCTCAGTTCCAGTTTTCAACAGAAGATTCCAAACCTAGAAAAAAATAAAAAAATTTCAAAAAACAAAGGAAGTTGGGGTTGTTTTCATGTTATTTTGACTGATCAGAGTTGGGAACTTTTGAATGGTGGATTTCGGGATTAATGCTTGATCCGCTATTTTTCTTAATCTCAAGATTAAATAATGCTTGTATCCCGTTGTTATTAATCTCCAGATTAATTAACCGATAGGGATTAAAGATATCCCATTCTAGTGTTCAGTTTAGAGCTGAAAACTGGTGGATATCGAGATCAATGCTTAATCCTCTTTTTTGCTAATCTAAAGACTAATTTAGTCTTAAGATTCATTTCTAGAGATGCGCTCTTTAACTTTTGAAAAACCGGTTTTTAATTTCCGAGCATTTGTGTTGTCATATCAATAGGACTAATGATTGATCAACATAATTGAATTTATATTTGTTTAAATGCAATAAAAACCGGCTTTAGTTCAATCGGATATTAGTCCAATTGATATAGCATCGTATATGTATTTGTAATCAAACATATCTTTATTACATATAGTAGTAAATGTGTCTCCAATTAGAGACGATTAAAAAGAAAATTTAAAGATTCCACAGTGGATATTCAGATCAAGCAATCTGGATTAAGGGTACGCAATTCAAAAGTTTTCAGCTCAGGACAGCTCAGGATTACCAACCAATTTAAAGTGTTTAACTAGGGGTGGAAAATACTTAACAGTAGACATGAAGGTCCGTTACTGGGAAATTAGATACAAATAAACGGATTCTAGTATTCACTTCTTTTTTTCTTGGACAATTTTATGTAGAATATATAGACTTTTAAGTCCAAATCAGAGATAAGAAATAAAATTTGCATTTTACCGCTGTGACGAACTGCTGCATGTATGGCTGGAACTCCTCCTCGTATTTGTGTGCGTAAAGACCAATATTGTCACAGATTTGACTTCGCAGCTCCTCAAGCACACCAGGCTCATCATCATCCGTCACAAGGAGTGGGTTATCCAGAGTGAGAAGCTCCAGGAACCTGGGCATCCAAACCTTCATGTTGTCCTCGAAAAACTCTGGTAGGTCCTGGTAGTTCAAACTGTGGAATATCTTGGAGATGAGGACCAAGGATCCAAATATAACCTTGAGTGCGTCCTTGTTCCCCGAGTGCTGACCCGCCAGATTGATCGTCTCGACAAACAGCTCCGTGAAGGGCTGAGCAAAGTTGTCCAGGACGAATTTGATTTCTTCCCAGAGCTTCTGGGATTTGAACTCTATTGAATACTTCTCAAATATGGAGTGAGCTGTTTGTAGAACTCCGTTGATGATGTGGAAGTCCCCAGTCCTGAACTTTGTCACCATATGGTTCACCAGATCTTGCCATTGTGCAGGGAAATCTTGCTGGCCTGGGTATTAAACATTTAGTCAAGTGTACACAAGATAAAATTATTTATATCTATACCATTGCTTTAACCATCATTCAGTGCTTAAGATCACAAACAAAAAATATTTTGCTTTTAAAACCCAAATCTGAACTTTTCAAGAAAAAAAAAAAGATAATTAAACAATTCCTCATCATTAAATGGTTCATCAAAACCCCACAAAAAATCGGAAATTCTTATTCTGTTAAAAACAGCAGTAAATCTTTAAAAAATGTTCATGACCTGGATCCGGATCCATTTTTTCCATTGCGGATCCAGGATCCGGGTCAAAATTAAATGGATCCTAAGCACTGCCATCATTTCCATCTATTTTTTTTTCCATTTGATACTTTTAATAAAATCCGATTTCGGTCATATTTATCAAGTTATTAATTGTTAATATTTACCTATGATAGCAATAGCTTGACTGAGTTGCTTCTGGACCGGAACAGGAGCACTGAGCATGAGATCAACTATAAGAGCTTTGACCCGTGTTCTGTCATTATCATGAATCTTATTGATACTATCCTCTCCTACTTTCCAATTCCGCTTCACGTAGTTCTTAAACGTAATTGCTCCAGCAATCTAAAATATATTAGAATGGTCAAATGAGGATACTTCATTGACAACTGAACCTGGGGGTTAATCTTAGATATATCTGAACAATGTACGTACACTGATTAAGCCAACCCATTTAGACACATACATCGACCAAAAATATCAAAGGCCAGAAAATTTCCCACAAAAAATAATCTTGGCCTATAAAATCTCTAAATGAACTCCTGCACGCAAAACTGTATTTGCTAAACAAAATTTGATCGCTATAATGTATTTAATGTAGAAATGAATCTAGCTCAAAGTAAATACGGGGGTTTATAATTTTAAGAATTACACCCTTAGAGGGTAAATGATTTTATCGATCTGGTGAAGAAGAAAATTAAAAATTGGACATAAAAGGCTAGTTTTTCCGTCGTGTAGATACTTTCTAAAAAAATATTTATTTAATTTCACCTCAAGAACTTTTAATTTTGCAAATGGGGCGTGGGGGGGGAATATAAACCACTGATATAATAGTACCATGACCTCACTGCATACAAGTCATAAGTACATAAATCCTTAGTAATCAAAATACCTTACCATTTCGGATATTCAATCCAACCCGAATAACGCGTTTTCAAAATCAACTTTCCCAATTCAGGGGAAGAAAGTTCCGAACCGTGCTTATGTTCAATATTATGATCAACGTTTTAGTAACTCTTCTTGTGTCGAGTGCAAATATCAATTAAAGAAACTATTTCCAACATATTATTAAGCACGACGAGAACTACCAATAACACTATTTACTTCTATTCTAAAATTAAAACTGTGAGAAATCGTTTATTTTCAATTAAAATCCCGGATACCATTTTCGAAACAATTTGAAGGTTTTCCATTTTGGCACATTTCACGAATTCGAATCTTGGAAACGTTTTGGAAAATTTAAACCAACTTAATTACTTAACATATATTGGAAATATTGAACAATTCAGAAAAAAAGCATTTTCATAATTTACAGAATAGCATGACTCCCTGTAAATATTATTATCTTCTCAATTATTCTAAAATTTGTTTACACATTTTACTTTTAAATTAGGAGATTTAAATTTTCCTCCATTTTCAATAACAACATTTCACGCAATTAATTATCTGTTTAAGTTAATGGTAAGAACAATATAATATTAATATTAGAATTTTTCACTGCTTTAAAGAGAGTGAACGGCTATGTAAGGTTGTTGAACTGAGTATGCAGTGTTGTGGAAAACTTTTTTCGGATTCATTTGAGACATATTAAACTTTTTAAAGATCTGTAAATCCTGAGTTTGAGCGCAAATTCGACGTTCAAAACTCCTATATTGGGGGTGGATACGTTTTCAGAATTAGTTTTTATTTAAATTATAAATAATAATTAAAAATTATACATTAATCTAATTAGATGGTTAGGAACATATTTCTCAAAAGAAATTTGTCAATATATCAATGCTAAAATTGATTATTACCAAGTTTTCCACAACACTGCATACTCAGTTCAACTACCATACATAACCGGTCACTCCCTTTAAGTCGTTGAATTTGAAAAATCAGAATGTATAAGTTACATTTTTATGGTAATTCATTATTTAAATTCTACAGTGTGCGAAAAACTTGTCTTATTACCAAATTGTGTAATTTGCTTGAAAAATATCATTGACTCAAATCTGTGACATGTCTCAAAATCGCGAAGTTCCAAAACGTGTTTTTCGCCCAACCTTTGCTTCAAAAATATCTCATGTTCTAAAATGAAATCAACAATCATCAAAACTTGAAATTTATTTATTTGTAGGGGTTTGGAACTTTGTTGTAAAAATGTAGCGTTAACTATTCTGAATTGAAGACTTAAATTGACTAATACTGACAGTTAATAAAGATAACTTTGCACATTTGGCCCAAACTTGACATACGGTTAGGAACATTCTTCCCCTGCAATTAAATCCTTTACTCGTAGTCCTAGGCATGGGTTTCAAAGGTTCTCCCCCATTTCAAAACTGCAAATAAACAAACAACTAACCAAAGAAACGTGTGAACTTTTAGCCCTAAAATTTAAAAGAATACAAATTTTAAATTCCAACCTTAATATTTGGTTCAACATCAGGTTTGTTGATGAGAGAGAGGAGAAGGATTGGATAGTTTTGATTGGTTTCTACGGACCGGAGAAATTCCTCCGCTGGTTTCCTTTAAGAAAAAATATGTTTAAAACGAAATGAAATTTAAGAATATGCAACAACCAAAATAAGCAGAGAATAAAAAGAAATCGAAAAATCTATTTTACTATTCTTATCGGCGGGAAACAATCTGATCAAAAATACGTCATAGAGAATGTAAGGTGAGTCACATTCCTCTAAAAATACCTGATCTCGGTTTGTGGGGCTAAAGTTTGACTTAAATACACCCCCATCTGGTTTAGGTTACTCTCGTTCAACTCCATTTCTCTGAAATATCTTGATGTTCAGGAATAAATATTGAGATTTGTTTAAACATGGCAGCTTGAGTTCCAACTGCTTTCAGTGGAATCTTAATTTACGCGGTATTCACTTGTAGACAAAAGTCGTCTTCAAAAATCAGTCACAAAAGGGTATACGGAGGCGGAATTTTTTCATCCGTACTTTTTGCAAACATATGACGTCTCCACTTACTAACGTCCTAAATACGGAGGAATTAAGTACTGTCTAAATGGGATTTTCTACAACATTTAGTGTCCGACCATAAACAGAACATCGCGCGACCCCTATAGACGAAAATAAATAGAAAGCTCTTCAATACACTGCATGAATACATTTTCAGGGATGCTTTTTATTGATGACTTTCAAAAATATTAAGTTCTCAAGAATTCATGGATTATGATGATGAGTAAACACGACGTGAGTAAGTCTGTCTGTCCGAAAATAACTAACGGGAGACATCTAGCGGAAAAACACTATAGAGGACGGAGACGTATTTAGGACGTCTAAAATACGACCGTAAATTTGAAAAAATTCCGGCTCGGGTGGAGTATTTTTCGACGATGGTGTATTTTTGGACCTACGCCCATCCCCTCTACTGCCCATCCGACCTACAACCACGTGGGTTTAACAGCTGTGGTAGGTCCGATGCACTGTAGGTCGGATGGGCACGTTAAAAACAGCATATTGGTGCATCCGACCTACTTTAAGCTGTCGCTTGGACACGTTAGTAGGTCTGATGGGCCTTTTTCGTAGGTCGGATGGGCATTTTTCGTAGGTCGGATGGGCATTTTTAGTAGGTCGGATGGGCATTTTTCGTAGGTCGGATGGGCATTTTTCGTAGGTCATGATGGGCACATTTTTCGTAGGTCAGATGGGCATTTTTAGTAGGTCGGATGGGCATTTTTCGTAGGTCGGCCCAGACGTGTGGCCGCAGCGCTCAGCCCCCTAGCCTGTCCTAGCCGCAGCGCTCGGCCCAGAAATGAGCTTAACTTAACCTAACCCTAAATATTCACTAATTTTATTAAAAACTGTTGAGGTAAAGGTCTAATTCATGGCCGCAGCGCTCGGCCCCCTAGCCCGTCCTAGCCGCAGCGCTCGGCCCAGAAATTAGCTTAACCTAACCTAATTTCTTAAATATTCACTAATTTTATTAAAAATTGTTAAAATTATAGGTCTTTCATGGCCGCAGCGCTCGTCCCGGCCCCTACAAAAAGTGCCCATCCAACCTACGATATATAATTATGCCCATCCAACCTACGAAATATGCCCATCCGACCTACGAAAAGTGCCCATCCGACCTACGAAAAATGCCCATCCGACCTACAAAAAGTGCCCATGCATCCGACCTACGAAAAATGCCCATCCGACCTACGAAAAATGCCCATCCGACCTACGAAAAATGCCCATCCGACCTACAAAAAGTGCCCATCCGACCTACGAAAAATGCCCATCCGACCTACGAAAAATGCCCATCCGACCTACAAAAAGTGCCCATCTGACCTACAAAATTGATTGGCCGTCCGACAGCTACAATTAATTATTTCTACCCTACAGCCCCAAAGGCATGAAAAAAGCTGCTGAATAGGTCGGATGGGCAAGAAGATATGCCCATCCGACCTACAGCTGTCGTAGGTCAGATGTTGCAGTAGGCCGGATGGGCAGTATAGCGGATGGGCAGTAGAGCGGATCAACATTACCTTTTTCGACCTACGCAAATCCGCTATCCTCCACTTATGACCTACGCTAAATCCGCTATACTACACATCCGACCTACTAGCATGGTTTTACAGCTGCTATATGGACTTGTAGCCGCAGTGCCCGGCCCCCTAGCCTGACCTACCGGCGGCGCTCGGCCCAAAAATTATCTTAACCTACAGGGTCTCGCACGAAACATGACATTTAATAAATATATTTATTAAATGTCATAGCTATAGCTATTTTTAGTTAAACAAATCTTTTGCTTAATTATATTTTACTTTGTAATCAATTTTGATATATATTGACTCCCATATAATATTTTTATTGATCTTTGGTATTAAACAACTTGACAAATTATGGAAAAAGACATTCCAAACTATTCACCAACTGTCATGTTTCGTGGGACACCCTGTAACCCAACCCTCAAATAATACAAAATAACAAAATAATAATACAAACAGCTGGCGTAGCTCCGATACTGCAGTAGGTCGGAAAGTTAGTAGGTCAGGAGTTCAGTAGGGGGAGGTTGCGTATAGACGATGTACCATCCGATGCTGGGTTGATTTGGCTACTAACGTCCAAAACCTTATTTTAGTCCATTTGAACATTAGTATATATGAACAAAATAAAAATTTAATGTTTTCAAATGAACTAATTTTTAAAAATGGCATCATCTATTTAGATAACTGTGGCTGTAGTTTAAAGTTGTGAATTGCAAATCGAAAGAGTCGGAGCTAAATTGTTGCTGCAGAAGTTCTCAGTGGTCGTGTAGTTCACGTACTTCGGGCGCCGCTAGCCGTCTCATGTCAAATTCTTATCTGATAGATAATTTATCCGTAAACTTGACCGATATAGGAGACGTCAAGGAAAAGTAGATTCGAATCTTGATTATATCGAGATAGAATAGGGTAACATGAGCGAACCAACTAGAATTTTTAAAATTGTATTTTCTTTTAAAATTTATTAGTGCAAGGTTTAAGTAAAAATATATTAATATCACAGATAACATAACATAGAAAGCATCGAGTAAGTAGTTCAGTGTAATGTAATAACAAAATACATATAAAAATGTGCGGACGTTTAAACAAAAACAAGAAAACAAGAAGTTTTTTAGTACTAGTGTTGCCATAATTTCAAACTTACATAATTACGGACAGAAGATTTCATGATGGAAAAATACTGGTTATTAAATTAGTCACTTATTGAGATACGCGCAAGAAAGGAGTCGACAAAATGCAAGAAAATCCAACGTATTCTAGTTATATCCTTGAGAAGGTTTCACCAGGATACAAGAAGGGTATCTTCATTCTCAAGAGAATAATAGGCAAGTTCTCTCAGATCATTATCCATCTCCTCCTTCTGCTCCGGACTACGAGAGCTGACTAAAACCAACTTCAATTCAGCTCCACCAGCATCCTTCCTAGATATAACACGGTTTTAACAAGTAAGAAAAGATTTCCATATTCTTTTTTTTCACCAACAGGAGACAGACGGGAAAATATGGATAAGTTTTAATAGGTCTGAAAATAACTACTATTTAAAACGGTGGGATTTAATAGTAACCTTGATATATAAAAATGAAGATCTTTTCATATTGAGATACTCGTTAGATTTTCAAAGCAAGACCAGGACCAAAGACAGAAGTAATTTTCTCTTATCAGATGATAGGTATAGTTGAGAGGTGAGCAAATTTATTCGCTGAATTGGGGGAAACTGGAATAAATAAATTTTTGGGGTAAGTATTGTAACGGAAAGAAAAACTTTTGTTGTCCGATTTTCACCTCCGCCCCCTCCCCAACCCCACCCCCCAGCATCAAAAAACATTCCTCATTTAATTCTTAATATCCTGGACCAAAAAAAACCTTTAACAAACCTGAAAAGTCTTCCAACCAACGCTTTAAGTTTCGCTACTGTCATATTGACGGGTAGTTTCTTCTCCAATGGAGGAGTATCCACAAGGTTTGGAGAACTTATCTTCACAAGAACTAAACTAGACTTCAGATTACTCTCCTTCACCTTGAGTTCTCCCTCTGTGGGTTCTCCGAACTTGTTGACAAGCTCGATATATCTACCATGAGTTCTTGTGAAGGTTTCTAGAGCTGAAGTTCTTTCTTCTTCCGATACCTGCAGAACCCGGAGATATTCCAAACCGTGCTTTTTATAGTAATCTATTTCTGCCCATTTTCTCTCTGTATCCTGTATTTCTGAACCATTGAGAACTTTCAAACTACTGATTAGTACAACTAGAGTTGATCTTCCTTCTCCTAGTTTCTCTGACTGTAGGACAGGATTATTCCTAAACCTTAGCTCTGTAATATTAAGTTTGTTGAGTTCACTAACATGATACCATTCACTGATTAGGTTAAACCCAAGTTGTAATCCTTTTAGGTTTTTAAACATGCCACTCTCGATTTTAATGTTAGACATTCTGTTATCATTTAACTGAAGATACTCAAGAGTTTGCAAAGTGGACAGATTTTGAATTTCCGTCCAATCATCAATCAGATTACTGTCTAAATCAAGTCCTTTTAACTTGGTAAACTTTCCAGGGGTTAGAGAGATATCTTTAATCTTATTTCTATGAACCTGGAGGTTTTCTAGCTTAGGTAGATCTCCGGCTATGCGTTCTACATCTGACCAACTGTATCCCATGCTACCCAGGATAAGATGAACTAGGTGAGAGTATTTATCTACCGGGATGGAGTTGGGTACAGGGAGATGGTTAAAACTAAGGTTGAGAACACGCAACGGAACCTGAGACACGAGGTCGGATATATTGGACCAAGAACTGAGAAGGTTATCCGATAGATCCAGGTCCACCATTGAGGTTAAAGTAGAGAATATCTCGACATGAGTATCATTAATGTTCATGTTTCCGACAGAAACTGATTTCAATTTGTCCAGCTGACTCTGATGTTTGTTCACTTTATCAAAACCAACAACCTAAACACAGTATTTTAGTTAAAACTTAACAATTAGAATCGGGGTCACAAGCAAAAAAAGGTTTCCGTTACCTCTTTACTAAAATTTTTGATACCTCTTTACTGAAGTTTTTGTTACCTCTTTACTAAAGTTTTCGTTACCTCTTTACTAAAGTTTTCGTTACCTCTTTACTAAAGTTTTCGTTACCTCTTTACTAAAGTTTTTGTTACCTCTTTACTAAAGTTTTTGTTACCTCTTTACTAAAGTTTTTACTTATCCCACCAGCACCAAAACATTTTCGTATTGTCCCCCCCCCCCTCTCTTCCACCAGTAATATATATTTTTAAGTAACAAAAAATGTGAACATGATAAAAATACGTGTAATTTTTTCACCTGGACAAATCTAGCTCCAATTTCCTTCTGTAGATCATCCATACACTCCTGTCCCACTCCTGCCGTTTCTCCTTCCACCTTCCCATACCTCAGCCGAACTCCTTCCAGGAGGTTGATCCCAAGGTTCACTTTGTTAATCCTCAAGAAGGAGCTGGAGGTAGGAGAATAATTTCTGGGAATGAAATATCGAACTCCTTCATGGGCTCCATCATGTTTCCCTCTGCTAGGATCATCCCACTCTACTCCTAACCACTCCCCCTTGGTTGCTCCGACAGGACCCTGATACAGGATAGTTCCCTTCTTCTCCTCGACACAGAACCTTCTCCCGATCAAGGAGGGCTCAGCCTTCTCTATCATCTCATTCTGAAATCAATTGTATATGAATCACCTGGACTTAACTGTGTGAGTATTGGTTAATAAAAGTGCAAGCATAGGTTGGATAAAATGTGGCCGTTTAACGGATTGTGTTTACAATATCATCAATCTTGAGGATAGAACGAACACACTCGGATGCAAGCGTGATAGCACTGGTAGAGACAAGGAGGGGTTGAACCACGTTCTCCTCCAGAATGTTGGTGATAGCTCCCTTTCTTACATTGATTCCAGCAGCCTTCTCACCCTGAAAACATTAATTATTATCTTAGAATGAGAGATTTGGGACTTAATATTCAAACAAAAAATAAAAGAAAAAAACATTCTTAGAGCCTGAATTAGGTTAACAAATTTTAAATTGAATGAAAATCTACTATTTGAGATAAACCTATTGATTAAAATAATTGTTACCATAGCATGTCTATTTCTGAGCTCTGTAACGGTTCCAATGGGATTGAGCCCGGCATTCTCGCTGAGGGTGTAGGGAATGATTTCCATCGCCTCGGCGAATGCCTTGAAGCAGTATGCGTCCGCCCCTGTGAGGGTGTTTGCGTGAAGCATGAGCTCTCTGGAGATCTCAGTCTCGGGGGCTCCGCCTCCAGCAATCAGAAATCTTTTCTTCACCAGACAACGGATGACACAGAGTGCGTCATGAAGAGATCTAAATGCGTAACAAAATAATGCTTTTTCTCTATCGGCCTAAAATTAGATATTTTTGTTTCGTTCGCAAGGCATTTAATGTTTTTATCAGGCCAGGGGTTCACCTAGGATAATCTGACATTATAGACAATAAATCTGCCTCAAATAGCATCGTTCGCAAAATCTGCCATCTTACACCTGCAACAAAATCTCAAGATGAACCCCTTGGCTAGGCGATAATAAAATTTAATTTGCCCAACAGAAGCTAGAAAAAATGCGACTTTTCTGAAATAAAACAAGAAAAAAGATTTTTACCTGTCCGCTTCGTCCAGCATAAGTTTGTTAGATCCGCGTAGAATGATTGAAACAGTTTTGCCAGGGTTCTGAATCCCGGTAAACTTGACACACTTACTGGTTCCAGTCTGGATCTAGAATTGAGAAAATCAGGATTCCTCTGTTCAAATATTATTTTCAAATTTAATCCCACCCTTTCCCACGATCTTAAGTAATTTTTTTAACCAAGAAATTTATCTTCTTTAGTTAAAATATCAGTCATTTATATCCGAAATTTATAACGTCATTTAACCAAATAATGTATAATGTATAATATATAATTTAGTAGTTTGGGAACCCAGCTTTGGCTGGAGTCATCCCTGTAGAAGACGACCCACTAGACTTCTATTGAGGTTCATGTGTTATGAACGAACCAACAGACAAACAGAGATTAAAGGGACAGACCGGCAATGTAAGGTAGTTGAACTGAGTATGCAGTGTTGTGAACAAATATTTACGATTCATTTGAGACATATAAAACTTTTAAAGATCATTAAATCCTGAGTTTGAGCGCAAAGTCGACGTTCAAAATCGTACTTTTTCAGAATTTTTTTTTATTATTAAATAAAGACGACAAAAATGTAAACAAAATTCTAAAATAAACTAATTAGTTGTTTAGGAATAGGTTGAAAAAAAAAATTAATCTCATCAAAAATAAATAATACTGTTCAACTCTTAGTTTCTATCTTCTCATTATTCTAGTTTCTCATTAATCTAGTTTCTCATTAATCCCAAAGATTTTCTTCATATTTTATTACATTGAAAAGACGACCTTTGAAGAATTTGAAGAAATCTGCGAATAAATTAAAAGAAAATAAGAAATTCATTATAATGACGAAAACGAAATGACTGATTCTAGCTTTGATTTATTGACAAATTTCTTTTGAGAAATATGTTCCTAACCATCTAATTTGTATACTTTATAATTTTTACTTTATTTTTCGTCATCGTGGTTTTTTATTAATTTTTTAAAAACCGATTTTGAAAACGTATCCACCCAAAAGTATGATTTTGAATGTCGACTTTGCGCTTAAACTCAGGATTAACAGATCTTTAAAAAGTTTTATTTGTTCTAAAATGAATCCTTAAGAATTTGTCCACAACACTGCATGCTCAGTTCAACTACCTTACATAGCCGGTCTGTCCCTTCAATACTTATATTTAGAAAAAGATATATTCTAGATGGTAAGACCCAATACAATATAAAGAAAATAGAAAATATAAACCTCTGACAAACCCTGTGCTCTTACCTCCTCTACACATTCTGCCGAGGTGAGGTTCTCTGCTGTGAAATGATCCAGACTGGCAATAGGTCTGCAGCTCAGCGCCTTGCACAGGAACTCCACATCCTCCCTCTCTATATCCTTCACAACCATGATCTTCATCTTGTCAAAGAAATGGATGGCGAGGTCGGAGAGAGCGTCCCTCAAGATGGATTTCTGGATGAGAAGAACGTTGCAACCTGCTTTCTTGATCTGTTTGACAATGTTGAGGATATATGCTCGCTCCTCTTTCAATACACGATCCATAGCAGCATAATCAGATACAACTACCTAAACATTTTAAACAAGGTTTCAAACCATATCAAGTCTCTTTCTAATTTTGCAATTTATTACCCATTTCCCTTACACCTAAATAACGGGTCTACCTCCAGTCAATAATTGGGATTCTTTGAATTGAAAATTTGATTTCGCATTGAAATAAATGTGAGCTTTAGAAGGGAAAAAAAAAGAAGGTACAAGGAAAAAAATAATTTGAACTTTAGAGCAGTCTGTAATTATTAACAAGTTTTCCAATATCTATATTACCGCAAAGAAATGAACTTTTATCATTCCCGCTGTTCCCTCACGCTGTCCCCTAAGATCAGAAAATATGAACCCCAAAACGTACATATACCCAGAAGGGGGGGGGGGGGGAAAGAAATTTTGTAATTACAAACAATTGTTAATTCCTTTAATGATGAATCCATAATTTTAACAATACCATGAATATACTAATTCTATCATACTGGGTTACCAACAAAGGAGGAGACTGTACAGAAAGGCCTAGAAACCTGAAATCCAAGGTTACATAAAGTATTCATTCATGACATTTTTTAATGATTGGAGAGATAAAAATTTACAGTTGCAGGGAATCCTAGAAATAAGGAAGTTTTAATTCCGTACAATCGTCTCCTTTGTGGGTATCCCTTTCTAATTCATATTCACCTGGTTATCCATATCAGTTTTAGGAGGAGAAACCTGAAATTGAATAAATCCAATCTTTGCCTTCTCAACCCTCTTAGGTCCGTTCACATTGGACGCTCTCTGCTCCAGGACTAGACCTTCTACTAGAGCAGTATCATCAACAGTTCCTCCAAGCTTCTTCACGATCTTGATATCCTTCAGGTTCACGTTGTTGTCCCTGGCGGGGTCGATGATCCTCAACACAGAGTCCACGGCGATGGGTGAGAGTTCGGCGCTGTTCTGCGACACAACCTTGGAGTTGAGGGAGGTGTTGGCGGACTTCAGGAGGCTTTCTCTGTCATTCAGATCTAATGGGATCGCCATACTTGTCAGAATATCGACAGATTTGGCGGCAGCTTTCTGGAAACTGTCCGAGATGGATGTTGGGTGAATTCCCTTCTGCAGCAGCTTGTCAGCAGCTTCAAGTAAGCTTCCAGCCAAAATGACAACGGAGGTGGTTCCTGTAATAAAACTAGGCAATGATAAAATGAAGAGTCATGTATATATAACAATAGCCTTTGTGCTTTCTTACATCCAATAATCTTATACTCAAGGACTGAACCGAACTTTTAAACATTGGCCAATAACTGAAACATTCTAAAATTCACCATAATAGTTACGATCTAAACCTAAATGGCCATGACCTTAATCTTTAAGACCATTAACTTAACCTTTTATGACCATGAACGTAACCTTCCTGACCATGAACTTAACCTTCCAAACCATGATCTGACCCTTAATGACCATAAACTTAACCTTCACGATCTCGAACTAAACCTTCATGACCCACAAAGTTTACTCTAAAAGTTAGGTAATTGCCTAGTATACGTCTTTTGGACCTACCCTCCTATCAATTTTGTACATGCATATAATATTTGACACCAGATAAAATTGGTCATGTGGTGGACGCAGCGTCCGGCCCCCTAGCCTGTCCCAACCTCAGCGCTCGGCCCAGAAAGCGGTTTAACAGCGCTCGGCCCAGAGCGATTTAACCTAAAGTAACTAACTATATACTGATTTTGTTTTAAATTGTTGAAAGTGAGGGTGTATCCTGGCCGCAGCGCTCGACCCCCTAGCCTGTTCTAGCTGCAGTGCTCGGTCCAGAAATTGTCCTAACTTAAACTAACCCAGAAATAATACAAAATAAATATTTTTTTCTTATAAATAGTTGATATCTAGGTAATGTACAAAATCGTATGTTATGACGGACCCAAAAGTTAAAAAGGGAGTTTTAAAAATCGTGTGAATAGAAATGTAAATTTATTACCGTCTCCAGCTTCGATATCTTGAGCTTTGCTAAGCTCTACGAGCATCCTTGCTGCAGGGTGAACTACATTCATCTGGTTCAAGATAGTTGCTCCGTCGTTGGTGATTGTAACCTCCCCCTTCGCGTCCTGGATCATTTTATCCATACCGCGGGGTCCCAGGCTAGTCCTGACAGCGTCAGCTAGAGCCTTTCCAGCCTGGATATTACTCTTTCTGATCTCCTCCGGCTTACTGTTCTTGGATCTCATGAGACCCCCGGCTCCGACACTTTTAGCACCTCCAGCAGTCATTTTTCCTCTGAAAAAGATCAATCAAATTAACGACAAATTTAAGCAATAATTTCATCCAAGATATTTAAAAACTATTTCTCTAATCTCTAAAACAATAAATTGTATAGTTAGATTTTGGCTCCCAGATGTACCAGTAGTCAGTACCGTGTGTTTTAAAGAAGTTGCCGGAATGTTCTAGAACGTTTGGTTTGGAAATATTTCAGCACAATGAGCCAAACCAACCTTTCTCCATTATTTTTTATTTATCTGAGAAAATTTTTTGCTAGAACCTGAATTAAGATATTAGGTTGCACGTAATGATTCAAAACACAATAATATAATATCGATTTTTTTTTCAATTTGGTAACAAAAGTAGTTTTTGTTATATTTGCGAATGTCGTCTTGCACAAAAAGTATACATACAAGGGGATGGTTCCTAGCTTGGCGGAGGGGGGGATAGATAAAACTCCTATTATTGAGGGTTAGGTTAGGTTAAGACNGCCCCCTAGCCTGTCCTAGCCGCAGCGCTCGGCCCAGAAATTGTCTAAACCTAACCTAACCCTCAAATAATACTAAAATAAACAGCTGGCGACGGCGTAGCTGTCCGACATTGCAGTAGGTCAGAAGTTCAGTAGGGGGGATGTTGCGTTTTAGACGATGTAACATTACCGACAAATCTTATTTCTACTATGGATCGGGTTCCTAGTTTTTTCTAAGGCCACATAAAGGACTTAAAGGACAAATTCTAGAGACGTTGTTTTTCGACCTACGCAAATCCGCTATTCGATCCTCTTCTGACATACGCAAATCCGCTATATATTCCTCTTCTGACATACGCAAATCCGCTATACTCCTCTTCTGACATACGCAAATCCGCTATACTCCTTCTCTGGCCTACACCAAGTCCGCTATACTAAACATTCGACCTACTAGCACATGGTTTTACGAAGCTGCTGTATGGACTATATGGACTACTTTCTATCTGTAGACTCCAGTTCTCCTACTTTCTATCTGTAAACTCCAGTTCTCCCACTTTCTATCTGTAAACTCCAGTTCTCCCACTTTCTATCTGTAAACTCCTGATCTCCTACTTTCTATCTGTAGACTCCAGTTCTCCTACTCTCTATCTGTAAACTCCAGTTCTCCTACTTTCTTTCTGTAAACAACCAGTTCTCACACTTTCTATCTGTCAACTCTACTTCACCTACTTTTAATCTGTAAACTTTAGTTCTCCTACTTTCTATCTGTAAACTCCAGTTCTCCTACGTTCTATCTGTAAAATCCTGTTCTACTTTCTATCATGATAATAATCTAAATTTGACACCCCACCAGAAAGGGACCAGTCTTTGATTGTTAGAAAAGAAGCCATGTTAAAGGTTAGAAGCCTGGCACACATCACAATAACGATATCCGTTGTGGACTAATTTACCGTCATTTTTCGAAAATACCTACAGGGTTACCCTCAAAGGATGAGACCGAGGTTAAATTAAGTCTTCTGCCTTGAAAACAGTCTTTTCATGACTCGTTAAATGCTTTAGAAAAAAAAATTGCAGGGAATCATGAACGTAAGGAAACCGACAGTATAAATTACGTCCAGTCGTCTGCATATGAATTCTCACCCTTCTAATAGTGCTACAAGCCGTTAGACAATGTTTCAATGCTAATTTACTAGGATCTTCATTTTTTGGAAATAGTAAGTGGGAAATCAATAAAACTTGAATTTGAACGCTTTAATTATCAATTTTTATTAAAGAATTTTCCTTACATAATAATGTTTAATAAAATCCATGTCAACTAGTAGAAAATCAGGTATTTAATAAAATCACATTCATCAGGTTCAATTGTTTGTCAACATTAATTTTATAACTTTCCGAATACATCTTGGTCCATGTTATAAAATATTAGTATTGTATATCACAACCAAGGGAAATATACATAAATAGTTGGCATTAATCTTTACCAAGGCAGTATTTACACAATCTACAACGGCAGAAACTGTTATAAAAGATGTTACAATGCTTAATAATGTAATAATCCAAGTTTAACAATAATTTAAAGAAATAAAATTCAGTGAATGTTTTGTTACTAAAATGATTAATTTTTCAGAGTAAAAGTAGAAACAATGTTCATTAAAATATTTAAATATTTTTTTAAATATCCTCTTATTGGGGAAATAACTACAACGTATTTTTTGCCGAACTGGGATTGGAAAAAATTATTTGACGGTGAGGGGTGTCTCCGCTTTTGCGGAATCCGGGAACCTCTGATGGTATCTGTCTCTCCGGAGATACTTGACTGTAACCAACTGCTTCTTATACCACTGCCCATGGAGACAGTTGAACACGATCCCAGCATCATCTGTACTCATCGTCTTTATATACACTACACCCTCGCGACTCTCTCGATCCACGGCAATATGGAGAATTCGAGCCCCGGAGCACTTAGTCAGGATGTCGGTGTGGAGATCGGAGATCCAGTTATGCTCCAAGTTGAGAGGATCAAACATGTATCTGATCTTGAGACAGGAGGTTGGAGGATCGGTAGGGGCGGAGACATTTCGGTTTAGGTTAAAGGCAGATCCCTGCCATTCAGGAGATCTCGGAGAGGTGGTGGGAACATATGGCCAAGGATTAGATTTGTTCAGGATCTCTCTTCCGTCTCTAGATTGAGCTCCAGTGGTACTTGGAGAACCTGCTAGACCTGGAGAATAAGGACCAAAAGCTCGTTGTCCAGGTTTGATAGGACTAGGACTGGTCGGAATATCAGGTAACCACTGCCATACACGAAATTCTTCTCCCTGAATATGCTGGATCTCCTCCCTAACCCTGCTCTCGTGTTTATTCAGATACTGGAGAGCATTCTTCCAGGTTTCTGACATATTCTCTCTTTCCTGCGGAGGGATCAGTTGGTCTCGGATATGATCAATGGCAAGATACGAAGGACCATGTTCTTCTCTGTTAAGATGATTGTCGCGGAGCATGGACAGAACCTTGTCCACCATAATAAACATATCCTGCCTCTTCTTTTCTTGTCTTGCCTTGTACGTTTTCCATCCATTGAACATCAGCCACAGAGTTAGTACAGCACTGATAAGGATCAAGATATAGTTTGTAGCCTGGAACAGGAGTCCAAGGATTGCGTAAATGAAGTATTTGACCCAGAGAAAAATTCCAAATGAGTTGTCGGACACTGCTAGATGAGTAATCTTGTCTTCCTGGTACACCGGTTGAATTCCCCAGCTGGGGTTTTCTTTGATCAGAATAATGATGTTGTTCCAATAATTTTCATATTCAGGTTTGCCTTGATCCCCTCTCAGCTGTTCCTTCAACTCAAGGAATGGATGATATGGAGTGGATGAGTCATCCTTTAGGATCTTGAGAACCTTTTTAAGAAGTTCTAGGGTGCCTGGGAGCTGGTTTCCGGGAATACAACCTTTCGAGTTCTCGTCCTCAATGCCAACACAGAGCGGGATGTTCTGCTGAGGCTGTGTAGAGCTTAGATTCATATATTGATAACATAGAAAAGCAAAGAACAAGATTGCCGAGAAAATGATGAGGGATGATATCAGCATCGAGTTCCCAGTGTTTTCTCTCCTGTTGAACCGTAAGCGGGGAGGACGGGAGACCTGTGTGAGCGGATTACTAGAAGGTGGAGAAGGTTGAGATCTCGTGACAGGAGTATGATTCGAATTAGATTTGTTGGTCGGCAGAGTACGGAGAGCTTCGTTCAGGGATCCAAATTGATCCAGATTCTTCCGAAGTTGTTGGGACTGGAGCGAGTAGGTTGGAGAGGGTGATGGTAAACCTGAACTTGTAACGCTTTTACCTCTAAATCTATTCTCAGATTCCTGTTGATTCCTGCCGCGAAACCTGGTTTCTGAATCTGGGGTACCCATTCCTCGATATCTGTTCTCCGAGTCTAAAGATCCTGTTTTTCTGTACCTGCTCTCAGAGTCTGGAGTAGTAAAACTAGTTTGTACTCCTAAATCAGCTCGGGATATATCATCCTCGTCATATTCCTCACACTTCTCATCACTATCTTCTTCAGCTTCAACATCTTCACTATCGTCTTCGTCGTCCTCGCTCTGATGCATCAAGCTCCGAGTTCCTCCGTTCCTAGCGTGTCTCGGGTCAGAGGAAGGATAGTTGGAGGGGGTTCCACGGTATCCGTTCTTAGTGATACTTCCTCCATTACTAGTTCTAGTTCTGGATACTCTGGAATTCTTCTTAGTTGAAGAGGCAGGCGGAGTAAAATCCTCCTCAGCTGAGCTGTAATCTATACCTGAGACAGGAAATGATTTTTGTTTACTCTGTTGATCTAACTGACGGAGTTTCTTGACAAGAACACTCCTGGTGGTATCTGTGATCGGAGGAACACTGTAGTTGTGTTCCTCCAACCTTAACCTCAGCTCACTGTCTGAGATTCTTTCTGGCATCTCGGGATAGTAGTTAGAACAGACCTCAATTCAAGCTACTCAGGCTAAGCATTATTTATGTTCTGAAAAAAGCTGAAGTTAGTTTTACATCAAGGTTATCGTGGATTTCTACAATTATTTTAGCTATTATATATATATATATATATATGTATATAAAAATATCAATGTCATGGAAACGAAATCACATTACAATTGTTTCGGCAAGGTAAGAGATGGGTTTAATTTGGAACTTCACATATTTCTTAAAAATTGGTTTGAAATATTTTTGGTCATGGCTAGTAAAATTTTCGCAATTAGGTCTTGAAATAAAAGAAAATTAGAAAATAAAAAAATAATTATTAGAGAAACCTATCCAAGGCGTATCATGGTGAATAGTTTTTGCATAGACACCTCCAGAAATTAGAATAAGAACAAGTCTAGTCCCATCTGGTAACGAGAAACTAGAATAAAAACAAGTCTAGTCCTATCTGGTAACCAGAAACTAGAATAAGAACAAGTCTAGTGCCATCTGGTAACCAGAAACTAGAATAAAAATAAGTCTAGTCCTATCTGGTAACCAGAAACTAGACTAAGAACAAGTCTAGTTCCATCTGGTAACCAGAAACTAGAATAAAAACAAGTCTAGTGCTATCTGGTAACCAGAAACTAGAATAAGAACAAGTCTAGTCCCATATGAATAAGAACAAGTCTAGTCCCATCTGGTAACCAGAAACTAGAATAAGAACAAGTCTAGAAGCTAGAATAAGAACAAGTCTAGTCCCATCTGGTAACCAGAAACTAGAATAAGAACAAGTCTAGTCCCATCTGGTAACCAGAAACTAGAATAAGAACAAGTCTAGTCCCATCTGGTAACCAGAATATGAACGTGCTGACCCTTAAAATACCCTAAAAACATAAAATTAAATTTACGCTGATTAAGAGCCATAATCTTTACAATCATACCCAATCGTCTGAGAACCAAGAAAAAGTTAAATACTGGCTTGGTCAAGATCCTTGCCTGAATGGAAAAATGTCAATACTTGTAATTTGTAAAGATTTGCTAAACCTCCAGCATCCATTAATACTTCTATTAATGTTATTAAGTTAATGTGCAGACAATTACAAGGAAAAAAGAAATATCACGTGCAAATATATAAATAAAAGGATCAAAATAACTACTGGTGTGTAAAACGATTGAATTTATAAACTCAACGTGAACAGTTAGGCACGTGTGTACACACATATGTACAACAAATGGTCGTCAGTTAATGTACACTGAAAAGTACAAGTTGTATCCAGCTACAAGATAGATGAACAACTTCCTTTCTTGCTCCAGGGAAAGGAGAACGATGTCGGAGAAGTTTAAGTATTTTAATCAGTCTTTTTCTCCACGTTGGAACCAGTTCTCTTGTGTAGGGAGGTCACAGCACTAAAAAGAATAATAAATAAACAACTAGATTCCGGGTTGGGAATTCAATAAGACAATAAAATTCAAAGCAATATATAAATGTAATCTTTAAAGAAAATATATCTTTTTCCACTTGGTTCAATATAATTTTCTGCTTTTTTAACTGAGTCAGTTAGAATTGAATGTATGAAATATTAAGGGCTTCCAACAGAAGATCTTAAGCTTTCTTATTTTCTCCAAAACTTGTTCATAGTACACTGTACAAAATGTATACCTGGAGAGCACGTCTGTGACCTTATCCCGTCCTGCCGCTACGGTTGCTGACATGTCGGAGACAAGGTTAGAACCGCTAGCCGCTACCTTCTCCAGTCTAGCGGCCATCCGCTCAGCGGTCAGACTAGCGGATTTAGTTAACAGATCAGTTACTCCTTTTGTCAGCTGATTCTCCAGACCACGGACAACCTTGATAAAGTATTAAATAATATTAACGAACTAACCATTTTAGGTCGCAAAAATAGTCTTGGAAGACTTTTCTTCTGGGGTAGACAGGGGCGTATTCAGGGGGGATTAACTTTTTCCTTTTTAATGGGTCGTTGGGACCCAAAAACCACTGGATAACATAGATTTCACTGATCTAGTGGGGGGGGGGGGGCTAAGCCCCACAGCCCACCTCCTGACGCTTCTGGGGTCGGGTATCAAAATAATTAGAAGAAACTTACAAATTTACTTTAATCTTTTGTCACTCAAAGTTTGGGAGTGTGTTCAGCTTATTCTAGATAATATAAATCCTTTGAAAGAAAGAATAAAATTAAATTCAAGAATAAAAAAAAACTTTGGAAAAACTAATATATTTGATGTGAACAATACTAATTGTAGAAAATCATTACCTTTAAATGATTAGGTTTGGTTTTCGAGATGAAAGAGAGAAAATCAGGTTTTGAAACAATTGCATCTTTGCATAAACTCTCTGCAGTCTCCTTGCATTCCTGAACATAAGTTATTTATCTACATACAGGATTTAAAACCTTAGTGCGTTTGAAAGGGAGATGTCATGATTTTTGTAATTTTTTTCTAAAGAAAATAGTTAAGGATCCCATCTATTAGAACAAATATATTTCAAACAGTAAAAAAATTAATTATTTGGATAGTTTCTAGATACTTCATTTACAAGTTTCTCGAAATAATTTTTGAATCATTTCTGTCGAAAAAAAATTGAAGGTTTAGTTGAATTTGTAAAATTTTCTGTATTTGGGAATGAACACGGTTCAAATGAGTAAAATAATGGACAACTCGTTAAATTTATTGATCATTTGATTTAAGCATGCAGAGTGCAGACTCGGAAAAAAAATTTCTATCATTAAAAGTCTTAATACCTTATTCGACAAGAATAGATGTGTTGACAAGAGCTGAAGAAAGGAATCCTCTGATATGTGATTATTTCCAAGATCTTTGTCAAACAGTATAAAGGCTTGATCGAGGAAAGTTGATAATGAGTCCTGAGAGGCTGAGATGAGAATGGAAAGACGAATATGTCGGAGATCCTTCCCTTCTAGCTCCTCCAGTACAGCGGAGAGCTCTGGTAGATCATTACTGCAACCTATCCGAGCGGGGAACCCGTCCCTCTCCTCCTGGCTATGCACACTTGGTTCTTCTAGAGTATCTATATAGCTGGTGGTTTGAATCAACGACTCTTCTAACTTTCGCTGCAGTTTCTGAAGAGCCTTCCCTCGTCTTTGTGACTTCTCAATTCGAAGATAGTCGAAATAATTGCAGTTTGTCGTTGGTATATCTAACTTTTTCGCCATCACTAAAAAAGAACAAGATGTAGACAAATTTATCTAGAAATAATCATTTTATCAATCCTAGCTTTCAGTCAAGTTTTTACCTGATCGAACATTCTCCGCGTAAAGTTTTGAATCTTTAATTTCCTCCGAGGAAGGGATATACGGCTCAAGGAACTCTATAGAGCAGTTGATGTTTAGTTGGGAGAGACTATACACGATAACCTTCCAGGCGGGTAAACCCTCCCAGGTCCACGTAACCGTATCCAGGTCATTGTCATATCTGATAAGAACGGGTTGGACCGCTACTCCGGGTAGGAAAGCTCCGGGACGGAAAGCTATAAAACACGATCTGTTTGTACAGGTTCCTTCAGGAAATATTAGAACTTGCTGCCATTCCTGCTCCGGGTTACTTCTCTCCACGATGTGTCGGATTGTGTTCTGTCTCGAGTTCGGATCATTCCTGAGAACGGCAGTTATTCTATCAGTTAATAAATTAAGATGTTAGATCGAGGATAGCGTAAACGAAAGATATCCTTTGAGCGATGATATCAAAATATTATTTGATTTTTAATCAAAATTGCACATTGCACTAATTCAGGGGTATTTAAATTCAAGAAAAATCCCCCCCACTTTGATTCTTTACTAGAAAATGAAAATTGGCACGTCAAAAATACGGCTTTTACCTTTCATGAAACTCATTCCCCCCTCCCCACCATTTTTTTCAGATCTAAATAAAAAACTTTTGTCTTACTGTTAGGGTAAAAAAACAATAGGTGGTAATAATTTAAATGATATTTAACCCCATGCAAAATAACTAACCTATGCACTAGTACAGGCTGGGTGAGTTTGATGAGACTTCCCCAGAAAGGAATAGAGTTTGTCTCAGCTTTAGCAACGACACTCGGAGCTCCCATCACAACTACAGCAAGTGCATCGAAGAATGTTGAGTGTGGAGCAACCGCTAGTATTCTGGCTTGGTTGGGACCAGCTTGTTTACCAATTATCTTTACTCGGTGAAATCCACACACAAAAAACATGAACCGCAGAATCATACAAATTGCCTAAGCAAAAAAGATTAAAAATAAAGTTCAAGAAATATCACTTTAATTAAGTCATACCTTTCTTTATTCAATTTGGATTCAACAGAATTAAAGAATTTTAAAGAGATGACTAATTTAATTTGTCTTTTTTGAGAGAGATTGATATTTCATGATACCTTTCGTATATATAACCGCCAGTGAGTGAACGGCCTTCTATCGATGTCCTCTGTGGAGAGGTTGTACAACCCAGCGTAGGCAAGGCTGGTAGTCAGGGTCAAACATATTAAGGCAAATAGAAGACGAATAGGGAGAAGAGTCATGCCAACAAATATCATCTTCACTTTCTACCAATTCAAAATATTATTAAAATTTAACAATACCAAAAAACAGGAAGTTGAGGCCCAATCCCAGAGAAAGATTTTTGGACCCCTCGTCGGGTAGAATATTTAATGTAGAGAGGGGGCGCAGGGGTCCGAAAATCGTTCACTAGGAATTTACTCCAGCCGTAAAAGTAATTAAAATTTAAATTTTTTAAATGTTAGACACCATATTTCAGGTAGTTTCCTAGAGAACGATTTTTGGACCCCTCCATCCCCCTCCCTTCCTATCATGTGGCCGCAGCGCCCGGCCCCCTAGCATGTTCTAGCCGCGGTGCTCGGCCCCTTAGACTGTCCTAGCCGTAGCACTCGGCCCCCTAGCCTATCCTAGCCACAGAGCTCGGCCCAAAAATTGTCTAACCGAGCCTAACCCTAAAATAATAAAAAAAACAAATGTACAAAATTTGGGTCCGCCATAGTATACGATTTAAGTTGTGATACTTGCTTTTATTTAGGGTTAGGTTAAGACACTTTCTGGGCCGAGCGCTGCGGCCACGGGATAGGTTCGGTTAAGTTAAGACACTTTCTGGGCAGAGCGCTGCGGGTAAGAAAGGCTAGAGGGCCGAGCGCTGCGGCCACATGTCTTACATTAAAGATCCTCTTACAAATTTAGGTAATTTCCTAGTATACGATTTTTGGACCCCTCCATCCCCCTCCCTTCCTATCATGTGGCCGCAGCGCCCGGCCCCCTAGCATGTTCTAGCCGCGGTGCTCGGCCCCTTAGACTGTCCTAGCCGTAGCGCTCGGCCCCCTAGCCTATCCTAGCCACAGAGCTCGGCCCAAAAATTGTCTAACCGAGCCTAACCCTAAAATAATAAAAAAAACAAATGTACAAAATTTGGGTCCGCCATAGTATACGATTTAAGTTGTGATACTTGCTTTTATTTAGGGTTAGGTTAAGACACTTTCTGGGCCGAGCGCTGCGGCCACGGGATAGGTTAAGCTATGACACTTTCTTTTATTTAGGGTTAGGTTAGGTTAAGACACTTTCTGGGCCGAGCGCTGCGGCTAGGATAGGCTAGGGGGCCGAGCGCTGCGGCCACGGGTTAGGTTAGTTAAGACACTTTCTGGGCCGAGCGCTGCGGCCACGGGTTTGGTTAAGTTATGACACTTTCTTTTATTTAGGGTTAGGTTAGGTTAAGACACTCTCCGGGCCGAGCGCTAAGGACAGGCCAGGGGGCCGAGCGCTGCTGCCAAATGTCTTCCATTTAAGACCCATGTACAAAATTGATAGGAGGGGGGGGGCTGGGGGGGGGGTCCAAAAATCGTATACTAGGACAGACCCCAAATTTAAATTCTTAATTACAGAAACTTGAACCTGAAAGGTATTCATGTGAAAAATGTGGACAAAAGGGTTTCTTGGAGTTTCTCCGGATTCCATCTTGCTGCAGCTTTGATTCACAGTCGGAGTGAAAAGGTTTCTGTCAGTGTTAATATTACTATCTTATCATATTTTCGACGATGTGATAAAATAGGTCTGAAATAAATAACATATGGAAAATTTGAATAAATGTGCTAAAATGAGTCTAATAATTTTTAATCTTTTGAGTGAACGAGAAGAATGAGATAAAATTTAAAATATGTCGAGCTTTAAACGTGATAATTACTGTCATGAAACTTTGTGTTGTTATAATATAATAAAACATTTGTTAACTGTTGTCAAGGGGAATTTTTTACATTTATACACTTTCAAGTGTCACTTCAAATTTAAGATCCGTATGATCCATGTTTATCAAGTTCAATTTCGTCATCATTGCTGTACCGAATGCACCCGATCTAATTTCTCACTCTCAGAAATTCCGCGCACAAGCCGCTGTTCCTAAAATTTCCTAAATAATTGCGGCATTCTACTTAAAGGGAGGTTTACCAAAATAAGACTAAAATAATAAACAGATGTCGTCTTCTTTTATTCTAAATATGAAAGAGCACAGGAAGCACAGTGAGTCTGTTGAGAGAGAGTCGAGAGAGAGTGAGTGAAGAGGGCATGCATTGCACATGCAAACTAATTTCGTGGGAACCAAATAATGTAATTTTTTAACTATTTTGAGTAGTGCATTACTATGGATTTAAATCGACTCCCCTGGAATATTAACCACATATATTGCAGTATATGTTTTTTTTTATTTTAAGACAGCTTTATACAATTTTAGGTCGAAAACCCCTCTATGGCAGAAAGAGGCCAGTTTCCTCTACAGTTTGAATGAGCACCGAGCAACAAAATATATCTCTACCCTGAGAGGCTGAGGGGGGGGGGCACCCATGGAGGAGGCTCTTTTAATATTACATCTGCTTGCATTTCCCTTTCAGGCCAGGCACAGTTGCGTACCAAGGGGGGCAGTAGTCCTCTTGCCCCCCCCTGGGAGTTCCAGGCGGGGCCCTGCCCCCCCCCCTGGAAAATACAAAATTAAAAGGAAACTACGTTTAAAAAGCAACACCTGACAATGATAAAGACTATAAGGATCTGTCTAAATTCACTGTTAATACAAGGAGAGAAAAGTTTTAGCCTTCTAAAGAGAATACTTCATTACACAAGATGTACTGACGGAGAGCAGACTTAACGATCTTGCACTTTTAGCCTTACACCCTAATAGGTTGTTTGAGCGATCTCTACTGAGAAAATCATTGAAATGTTTGTGCAAGCAAATCCCAGAAAATTGAAGCTTAAAAGAGTTGGTGAATATGTAGATTGAGTAAATTATATCTAAAAATTTCAGAAGAAATTTCTTTTATTCGTGAAAATATAATTTTTAATGATGCTGTGATTATTGATTTAGTTTAAAGCTGTGATGGAGATAAGTGTTAAATTTATAAAGTTAAAAAGTTAGTTTTTCAAGCTTAGGAATAATTTTTAGACTCTATAAGGTTAGTATAACACCCAAAATGTAGTCTTTTTGGTGTATGTATGGTGAATAAAACAAGACCAGGGGGGGGCAAAAAAAATTTGAAAAAGGTATCAATATTTTTTTTTAAAAGGGGTTTTTAGGGGGGGGCACAATGTTGCCTAGTGGGGGAGAAAGTGCCCCCCCCCCTTCACAAAATGCTCTATTACGCCCCTGAGTATATCCTGCTGATATACCATCACGCTAAATCGGAGGCTTGGCAGTTGATGACAGCTAGCTGTCATGTTTTTTGGTTTTACATTTGACACTTTAATCTTTTATGAGATATGACTCATTAAATTTATTGAAAAACAANGGTTCCCCCCCCCCTGTCACTAAGCTATGGGGAAAATTATGAAAACCTGGCCCCCCCAGATTAATTTTCCCTCACGAGGATTATACTTTTCTATGTGATATTTATATTGTATAAATTCTAATCTTCGTGCAATAAATATTTGATTTGATTTGATTTGAACTTTTAATCCGTCTCATTGCAGTTTCTTCATCCTTAACTTTCAATCCCTCTCATCACAGTTTCTCCATCCGTTACTTTTAATCCGTCTCATAACATTTTTCCATCATTAACTTTCAATCCGTTTCATCTCAGGTTCTCTAATCCTTCTCGTCCTCCTTTAAATCCGTCACGTCTCGAGTTTTCTGTCCTGTTCTATGAGTTCTATCTGGGTCTTCTCTTGTAGTTTCTCCTCCAGTTTTCTATTTGTCTAATCTCAATCTCTCCATCCTTAATTTTAAATCAGTATCACCACAGTTTCTCTATCCTTACTTTAAAATCCGTATCATATCTTGCAATATATCCAATCTTAACTATCAATCAGTATCATCACATTACCTTCATCCTTAAGTTTCATTCCGTCTCATCTCAGTTTCTCCATCCTTAACTTTACTCCGTATTATCACAGTTTCTCCGTTCTTAACTTTCATTCCGTATCATATCTATATAGTTTCTCCAACCTTAGCTTTCAATCCGTATCATCACAATTTCTGCATCGTTAACTATATATCATTTTCATCGCAGGTTATCTATCCTATAACTTTAAAGTCGTCTCATCCTTTTCTTTCAGTTCGTCCAAATCTCAGTTTTCCCTTTTTACTTTATGTATGGTGAATAAAACAAGACCAGGGGGGGGCAAAAAAAATTTGAAAAAGGTATCAATATTTTTTTTTAAAAAAAGGGGTTTTAAGGGGGGCACAATGTTGCAAAGGGAGGGACCCAAAAAAAATTTACGCACTCGCGCATATTGTGCCCCCCCCCCTAAAAAAATGCCCTCGTCTCCATCCTTATAGCGTTCAAAGTATCTCCATCCATATAGCTTTCAATCCGTCTCATCTCTGCAGTTTCTCCAATCTCCATCCTTAAGTTTCAATTCGTCTCCTTGTACATATTCTCCATCCTTAACTTTCATTCCGTCCCATATAGGCTTCTCCGTCCTTTCAACCCGTCTCATAACAGTTTCTCCATCCTTTACTTTCAATCCGTCTAATCAAAGTATCTCCATCCTTACCTTTCAATCCGGCTTATAACAGTTTTTCCCTCCATAAGTTTAAATCCGCCTCTTCTCAATTTCTCTATCTTTAACTTTTAATCCGCCTCATAACAGTTTCTCCCTCCTAAACCTTTCAATCCGTCTCATTACAGTTTCTTCCTCCTTAACCTTTTAATCCGTCTCATCACAGTTTCTCCATACTTAACTTTCAATCCGTCTCATAACAGTTTCTCCATCCTTAAGTTTCAACCCGNTCTCAATCTCTCCATCCTTAATTTTAAATCAGTATCACCACAGTTTCTCTATCCTTACTTTAAAATCCGTATCATATCTTGCAATATATCCAATCTTAACTATCAATCAGTATCATCACATTACCTTCATCCTTAAGTTTCATTCCGTCTCATCTCAGTTTCTCCATCCTTAACTTTACTCCGTATTATCACAGTTTCTCCGTTCTTAACTTTCATTCCGTATCATATCTATATAGTTTCTCCAACCTTAGCTTTCAATCCGTATCATCACAATTTCTGCATCGTTAACTATATATCATTTTCATCGCAGGTTATCTATCCTATAACTTTAAAGTCGTCTCATCCTTTTCTTTCAGTTCGTCCAAATCTCAGTTTTACCTTTTTACTTTCAATTCGTCTCATTTCGTCCAGTTTCTCCATACTTAACTTTTCATTAGTCTCATTGCAATCCCTCCATATCTCTAACTTTTAATCTGTTTTATCTCAGTTTACTTTAATCCGTCTCATTTCGTCCAGTTTCTCCATCCTTAACTTTTCCATTTGTATTATCTCAGTTTTGCCGTCCTTACTTTTCATTCCGTCTCATTTTCCTTTTCTCCATTCCTTTATCCATGTCCTCCCATTTTCTTGTTTTGTCCCAAAATCTTATTATAAAAAGGAATCAACTAATGCAGTATTCTTTTGAAATGAGGAGCATTGATCGTTTTGTGAAATTATATGTTGAAGAAAAGTTTTGATATCCGGTTAATCCTATGATGCAGACTTTTTGATCTTTTGGTTTTTATTAACTTTTTTATAATGGATGCTTAATTCTGTAGAATATGCTGCATATGTTAACATGAAGGGGCGCATACACTATACATGGTTGGGCCATGGAGACTGTCCCCCCCCCTTTGCCCCTGTACACATTATTATCTCAGACTACAAGATCTAGATCATAAAAGTTAGAGAGCACCGAAAGATTTAATTAAAACAAATTTTAATATGTATTGCTACAAACTAAAGTATAATTGACTAGAACAATCTTTTATAATGTACACTTGAAGTTGAGCAGAATAGAGTACGAAGGTGCGCGCGCGCTTTATGAGAATTTTAAATATAGTCTCACGCGCATTCATACTGTAGGTTTAAACAATAAATAAGAATTTAATGGCAAACATGATCAGAAAATATATCCAGCCTTTGACTACATATAGAAATAAGATTCAATAAACATACCACATATTTAGTGGGTCATCATTTTTGCAAAAAAATGGGTTTTATTTGTAGTTACATGAAGTGAATTTAAAGCAAAATTCTTTTAGGTAACTCAAATTTGCAAAATGGCCACCAACTGTCCTTGACACGTGCTTACTAAATTAAATTGATGTCAAGAGGAGAGTGTGTCAAATGAGTAAAATTCAACTACGACCCGGAACACATTTTCACAGAAAGTATTTGTAACAATCAACGAGGTTAGAGTGTAACAATGAACTAAACAAATGAGTTAAAACTATAAAGATGACATTATCTCAAATATTCAGCTTCTCTGAGAACCGCGTTAATACTTTGATGGTTAGAGTTCCAAAGATAATGAAATGAGAAACTTTACTCATTTTTTCAAGCACAAAAACACTGCTTTAAAATCTAATGTTCTCATATCATTGGCAATTGGCAGGACTGGATTAGATCTTCTTCCAATGGAATCCGACGGAGCGGAGAGGAACCCCGAAATCGATGGTTCCTGAGAAGAAGGACAGGGCGTAACCTGCAGGAGCTGACACGTCGAAATCTGCACTTTCGTCGCTGTGTCGGTCGCCCCAGGGACCAAACTCCTTACCGTTGGCGGTGTGAAATGTAAGACGGTTAATGTTATATGGAGATGCTCGACCTGTTATCCGTATTATGTAATCATTCTTGAGGTTGACGGTCTCCTTCTTAACCTTATCCTTGAGGATAGTATGAATGCCTCCGTGTCTCTGTGTATCTTGATCAGGATAATAAACATCAAATGCCCAAACAAATCCTTGATAAACCATATCAATCCTCTCAGGAAACCCGGAAACAGTGTCATCAATGAAAAAAGTTCCCTTTTCAACAAATCCGAAGGGTCCGGACATATCTGCAGATGAATGTTGCTTAACCGGAGTTATACTGTTCTGTGAACTCGTGATCTTTGGTGCTTTTGGCGTTCTAGGGGTCTGTTGCACCGGTTTAACTTCTACAGGGGGAGGTGGAGGGGGGAGCTGGGGTCGGGATGGTTCAGTATCAAGGGAGAAATGAGTAAACACTTGGAAGGATTCAGGTTTTGCGGTATTTTCCTCAATAATTTCAACTTCAATCTTAGGAAGCTGGAAAAATCTTTCATGTTCTGGGACCAATTGATCATAGTAATAATCATAGTCAGTGTAAAGGGGATATTCAGGATCGTCTAAAACATCAGGTTCATTCACCGAGGGTTTTGGATTTTTATTCTGTTTTTTTCCAGGTCTACGATTGCCGTTCTTTTCCTGGTTTGATTGATTCTTCTGTGCAGGTCGTCTTTGTTTAGGAGTTATATGAGACGGAGCACTAGGAGTTGTAACTTCTTGGTTGGTATTAAAGATTGCTGTAAAGCTTTCTTTTCTGTTGTTTAAATCTTCACTGTTTCTTATTAGTTCATGGTCATTTTCATTCCTTTGTTCTTCAATAAAAACCTGATGAATCTGACCATTCCCAAGATGGTTTTGATTTTGATTTCTATCATCTTCCCTGGCTCTGTCATGTTTTCTCTCATCCCTCGGTTCTTCTGGTTCCGCTGCAAGATCTTCTCCGTTCTCATTGAACCTGGAACTTAATCGCTTTACTTCAGGATACCTAGAGAGGAATTCTTCAATTGTGAGACCTGAGGAAGGAGCGGGAGCAGAATTCTCCTGTCTCGACGAAACTCTAAAATCATTCTGATTTGTATCCTTCTTCTCTTCTTGTTGTGAACTTTTAAGTCCAACAACATCAAACCCGTTTTTATTTACATGCTGACTTTGAGAGCTTCTGGGAGCCTCGGATAGATTCTCATCTGAGTTCTGGTGGGATTGAAAGTTTGGAAATTGGCTGAATTGTTGATTTACTATCCTGGAGGCTGTAACTTCATCCCTTGATGGTGATGGGCGGGTTGGGGGAGCAGGAGGAGGGTTTCGGGGATTTGAGTTCTGTCTGGGGGGTGGAGA